AAAAAGCCGAGGTTAATAAGATAGAGATGGCAAGTCATCTGAAGAGGTCCTGGCAGAGTTTGTTGAAGGATCATTTTGAAGAGGCGATGAGGACATCCTCATCAGCACCGGCACTAATGGCGAATCCCTTCGTTAGAACTGCGGGACAATTAATGTTCACCTGGAGTCTGGCGGGAATAGAGTTGGAGACATTGACTTCGTATGACAGGCTGAAGTTGGGAAGCAAGAAGCTAGAGGTGTATCAGGCACTGATGCAACACGTGGCCAGGGACAATTCAGGCTTGAGCCTGGCTAGAAGAAAGGATGCCACATGTTTCTTGAGATGGATAATGTCAATGATGTCTGATAGCACCATCCTGGCATGCCACCAGAGAGCAAGTGGAAGTAAAACCATGGAGAGAAGAGTCTCAACGATCATCTTGAACGTATATCAGAGTACAGGAATAGAGAAAGAAGATGGTTCCAGACTATCCTTAGAGAACCATCGAAAGCTGGACGAGGTACGGAGGTTCTCTAATAAGAAGTTCGAGGAAGAACATGATGTTCACCGTAACCTGGCCTCGTCAGAACAGTACTCGAGACTCAGTGAGAAGGGGGAATACCAATATGTGTCTGGAGTGATGGGAATAGCCTACAATCCCTTCTTAGACTCGGAAGCTGGAGGATCCCACAGAAACCATGAGGTAGCGGAGCTACTGAAGTTTTGGACAGAAAGAATAATGGAAATAGACGCGGTGGAAAAAGAGGGGCCGAGCCTGGGCCTGATTCTTGAGAAAACACCAGAGGTGATAAGCATACCGCGCTCAAACAAGAGAGTTGAAGTGAACATGGGCGGTGGAAATGGCTTGTTAACCACGAACTTGGGAGTGATATGGAAGCTACTAAGACCCTCCTGGTGTCCACATCCCCATGCGAGTCTAATCGAGGAAACCACCGAGCGAGTGAGGTTAGCACCAACGGAAGATGAAGATCTGGCGAAGTTGAGTGTGCTACATAAGCTAATCACGCCCCAGATGCAAGAGCCAAGCGAAAGGACGAGCGACCCCGGGTCAGCAAAGAAATTGGAGCCGGGTAGCTGTCTGGATTCGACGTGTGGGAACGGAGAGCACATCTGCGATGGACGGTCATGCGTCAGAATACTGTCGTTTCAAAAAGAAGACCTGGTCACTTGGTTCGAAGACATCACAGAAAGGGAGAAAAGTGAAGTGCAAATAATAGCGGAATGTTACGCGAGAACCACGGTGAATATAGCGACAGCTCTCGGATTCTTCTCGAGAATGTGTGGTCTGCAGGCACTGGAGAGACTGGAATCTGAACATCATTTAGTGACGGCGTTGAGCGTAGAATCATGGCCCGGGGTGTTGCAGGTGACTCAAAAACACATCCGGAGCTGGAAGGTTGGTCTTGAGGCGGAAATGGGATTTCCCATGAGCGAAGCTTATGGCTTGCCATTGAACGCGAAATCGCTGATAGGGTCAATGATGGCCAACTTGTGCGGAAGTCACTACCCGCTACACATGGCGATGGTGGAAGTGTCCAGCCAGAGAACACTGGTGGACAAGGCCTTCTCAGTGCCCAAGTGCGTGAGGTTGGCTCGGATGTCGCATCACTCGCACAAGTTGTTGAGAAAAATCAAAGGGACAGTACCAAAAGAATTGAGAGATGACTTAAGCGAAATCTGGGGAGAAGATCTTCTGAAGTTGGAAAGAGAAAACACAAGCGATCACGAGAGACAAAACGTGATCGGGAAACCTGTGGGAAGTACTCCGAACCTGGAAGATAACGACGCGATGCACGAGAAAATGATGGAGCTTGAGCCTCTCTTGGAAGCCTCAGGGGAGCGTAATCTCAGGAGCATTGAGATCTCTCATGGGGAATGCCCATGCCACTGTTTGGCACAAACGGTGTGGTATCCAGATCACAAGAACCTTTGCCTGGTGTGGGATGTGGAAGAGATTCGGTCGATCGGACTACCTGATCACCGGCAGAAGGTGACGCTCTTAGTAGTGAGTACGATGTTAGCTCTGAGATGGATGGAAGAGAATATAACGAAGTATCGGGAGGCGACGACGCCAACGGCTGAGTCAATATACGCGATAGACTACAGCAGGAGACTCGAGTTGTTTGAGACTGCGTGCAAAGTATTCGCCATACCGACGGAAGTCAGGCACGTATGGAGTCGCTTGAGGTACTTTCCATGGTTTCGGGCGACACTGACGTCTTGGTTGTACATGACAACGAAAGATCACATGAGAAAACATCAAAAAGAGTATCGACAGTTCCAGGCCGAGATTGGGCCGGAAGCTTTCAAGAGACCCCTGCTAACCCATCGTAATGCGATCACGACAGGGTGGAAAAGAGTGGGTAAGATGTCTAGAGACAATACCAAAGCGAGGGAGTCGATATTAGAGGAAGACCTGGCGAAGAACGTGAGCTTGAGCCTGCGCAACTCCTTTTGCTTGAACCGAGAAGCTAGGGTGAAGGCACTACCCAACCAAGCAAAGAGGTTGCAGGAGCAGAGAGAATGGATGCGATCCTATGAACAGCTGAAGGCTTGGGAAGAGATTGTGATTAGTTCCGATGATGAAGAGGAACTGTTGAGACAGTTTGCCGCATCTAGCACTTCAGGATGCAGTACCTCCAAGGCGAAGAGTACGAGATGAATGGGCAAATCGGATGGATCTTGAGTCTTGAGAGGGAAGGGGGGCTTGAGCGTGGATCCGAATGAAACTTGGATTCACGAAAAAGAAATTTTAACAAAGCAAATATTGTTACTAATATACTATATTTATTATATAAATCGAAATGCTGCATGACAATTTCCTGATTGAATAGGACAAAAGAGATTTTAAAATGATTGGCTTGAAAAGCGAAAATTCAAGGGTGCAGGTGTATGCAGATTTTGGTTGCTGTTTAGCAATAGTGTGGAAATTTTAAATGGCTGTGAATTTTGGGGTGTAGATAAGCTTAAATCTGCTGCAAACTTCTGTAAATGACCACTGGCACTGTATCTTGAGCAACACTCGGTTTTTCTGGGACTCACTGGCAGAAGACAGCGCGCGATGGGGACATCGATCTCGAGTCCGGGGAGTATGTGCCAGTCGGTCATATTTGGAAGTTTGACCTTGAGAGGAGCAAAAAACACTTGATTTTGGAGTGAAATTTAATTTTTCAAAATTTCGAATGGAACCTGTCATGCACGATTTTCTCGCGAGAACTGAAAATCAGAAAAAGAGATCAGAACAATTTCAGAACAATTGAGTCGCACACGCGGGAAAGTCGTAAGAAAAAGCAGTAGGAAATTGCTATTCGCTTTCCCGCGTGTGATGGAAACTATTTCCATCACACGCGGGAAAGTCGTAAGAAAAAGCAGTAGGAAATTGCTATTCGCAATTTCCATCACTATAATAATCGAGAGTAGAGCTGTCCCATCTGTGACAGAGACGAGAGCATTCCCTCGAATTGGATTATAACGACTGGAGTATTATTCGGAACTGGACTAGAGTGAACCTTCGGTGGAAAGGTGGACAGCTTGAGTGTCCTAATGGTTCACAAGAAAACTATTGTCTAGAGTATAAACTCGTTCTCATTGTCAAAACTATAAAACATTAGACTCATTTAGTTACGTTATTTAATTCTTGAGTTAACTACCGACTGGATTCTTTCCCACTTCTTGAGCGTGCTACTATGTGAGTAGAAATTTAAATTCTAGAGTGTGGTTTATGATTGTTATGTTGAGGTAAGGCGAGTTTTAGGTTGATCCATCTGAAATGGATCAAAGTTCCACTGTCTAATAAAAAAGCAACTTAACGGATTGTTCCAACCCGGTTTTTAACGGCGTTCATGTATTTTGGGTATCTAGAGACCTAAGTATGGGGAAGTTTCTAATTCTAGAGTGGGGGGATATTTTGGTAGTAGCCTTTAAGCTGTAACGGGTCGTAGTCTCATGTCACAAGCGAACCGAACTGGCTCCGACCGTTCTTGAGGTAGAAAAACACAAGAGATAGTGTCCCTGACCCTTGAGCCAGTGGTTATAGGGCCTATTTTTCTTAAGCCTCATGTGTGACTGCAGTAGACGAATGTTACATAGTGTCCCTGACCCTTGAGCCAGTGGTTATAGGGCCTATTTTTCTTAAGCCTCATGTGTGACTGCAGTAGACGAATGTTACAAAGGGTAGAAGACAGCCTTCCGAAAGGAAAATAGAGGTCTTCTTTCCCCGGATTCAAGAATCCGGAGGGGTCTCGGGACTGAAACTCGTAGAATTTGATATAAACTTTTAGCTTTTCTATTATGTCCTGAATTGAATTTGGTTAACATCTGAATTCATTTTGCTAGGATGAGAAGCTAGGAGTTGGGGGAAAGGGTTGATCCATCTTCGATGGAGATGATGATTTTTATCTACTGAACAAAAACAATAATAATTCAAGAAGTAGTAGTAGCCCTGATTTTAGGAGTGACATCGTGGTCTGGGGATACTGAGATGCAGCCATGAGCTCAATATTTTGCATGTAATTGAGTTAATTTGAGCGTTCTGGTCGAAGCGATGAGCGATGATGAAAAGACCACCAAAAGAACTGGCTTTGGTAGAGACGGTGAAAAGCATGTAGAGCTTTGTTTAGACGCGGGCCAGTTGTATTACAACCTAGCTTTATTTTCCGTCGATATGTACTTGCGGGCGAATGTTACAGGCCTTAAAATGGTAACTTTTTACTTAGCCCTAGACACCAGAAAATCAACTGGCTAAGTCGAGACGGTGAAAAACGAGTAGAATTTAGTTAACTGACGCCGGCCAGTCGTCTATAGGTACTTTTTCTACGCTCCGTCTCTGTGTAGTATTTGTGCGAATGTTACAATTATTTAATGTTTTAGAAAAACTTTTTTAAATTTTTTTTCGATTCGTCGCTTCATATGCAAGAGGGTGGTAGTCATTCATTTTTGAATCGCCCGTGGTGCGAAGATCTACTTCCCCTCTCTATGATCATAACATCGATGCTTTTGCAGACAAACAATGAGGCCTGAAAATTCGGATGAAATTGATATACCTCCTGGAGGACCTCCCTATACAATTTTCATGGGTAATTTGCCAGACTATGCTCTAGAATGCGATCTTGAAATGATGCTGAAAGGACTTGAGGTATGGAAAAATTTTACTGTGCAATTTTTTTGTTTGAAATCTGAACTTCAATCATAATTAGCTAAACACCATGTATAAAGGCTTGACTCCGGAATCCGGTGGCGACCGATCACAATTTTGTTAAGCATATTTTGTAATAGTTCTGCCCTTTAATGAAAATCATTATTTCTTGCTCTAGCACGATCGCATTCGTTTGGTTAAAAGCAAAGACACGGACGAGTTCAAGGGTGAGTGTTTTTGAAGGAATAGCTTGGATGTAATTTGTTAATCTATTGCTCTATTTCTATATTTAGGGTTTGCATATGTTGATATCTTAACCCCGGAATCTCTTGTTGAAGCGTTGAAACTAAATAATTCAGTAAGTATCTGCCATCGTATGATGATTTTGAAAAAAAAATAGTCTAATTTTAATTGATTTTTGCTTCAAACAGAGGCTAGATGAATATCAGGTGCGAGTAAACCTAGCCGACAACAACCGAGGGAATAGACATCAGAGAGGTGGACAGCGTGGTGGAAACATGCAGCAACAAAATAATTTTCGGAGCCGCGGCGGCTACAATAACCGAGGAAGTTCTCGGGGAATGGGCAATTATAATTCCAGAGGGGGTAACCAACGTGGCGGTTTCAATACTAACCTGCGGGGTTCTTACGAAAATACTCGTGGGTCGTACGATAATTCTCGTGGGTCATACGATAATTCTCGTGGTTCTTACGACAACCCACGCGGATCTTACTACACTAATAATCACCGAAGTAATTCCACCGGTGTGCATCATCAACATAGCCAAGGCTATGAGGATTACCATAATTATCAGAACTTCCAACAACAGAGACCGAGTCATCAAAACCGACCGAGTAGGTTTTTTTCATACAAAGCAATTGATATATAATTTGATTCTTTTTTCTCAGAAATTTGCTTCATCACTACCTTAAATATTAATTGTAATGTAGGTAGATTTCCGCGTGGCCAGCCCATGCGTGCCAGAGGTACAGTTGATATTCTTATTTTTTTTTTTAACTTACTGGAGTCTGAGTTCAAGCTGATTATCTATCGATTTTAAGTTCTGCATCTAACTGATCTGGAATTACAAGTAGAATCGGATGTTTTTTTCAGGCAACCAGAGGGGCATGCAACGTGGTGGCGGTAACTACGGACCGCCTGATCGCGGCTCGTATAACAATGGTGGGTGGAACAATCAACGTGGAGGAGGCCGAGGCGGTTGGAACCACAACAACGCATATCACCAGCATCCACCTCATCATAACAGTCAATTCCACCCTCAACGAAGCAGGGTGACATCTACAAGTAGCCGAAACAATGACCCTCCTCTGCAGCCGTTGACCGAAGGTGTGATGTTTTATGTTTTTGATTCTTGCAAATTAATTTGAAAAAGTTGTTATAGTGGCTCGTGACTATTTGTTTCTTTCATTCGACTGTGGATTTTGTTCCCTTTGCGCTTTCATCTCCGAGGAAGATGAAAGTTTGTTCCTGGTGATTTCGGCTCGTTCATATCTCAGTGTCGTTGGCTTTGACGAATTTAGGACAAATGACGTGACTGGATTAATTGAGCTTCGTTTTGATGCGGACTTGGGCTTGAATAGTTGTCTCGTTTTTGCTGTTTGGAGGTCAGCTTCTTCCGTCATGCTGCAGTTTCAGTTTGTTAGAAGCGGCATGTGAGGCATTTACAGTTTAGAAACCAAGTACAGCTAGACATCAAGGAAAATTTGGTAGTCGGGAGTGACATCAGTTAGTAGAGAAGATCCCGTTTAAACTTTCTGGGTTGATCGAAAATGTTGATAATTGTGCATTCAGTCATATAATTTGCTGTGTCAGCTAGACGATAGAAATAGCCTCTGGATGTAGAAAATTTTCAGCTTGAACGACATTGAAAAGTAACTCGTTTTTCTGAGCGTAAGTACGCTTTACTAGAAAAGCAAAGGCAATGAATTTAAATGGGTCCAGATCGAAAAAACCATGGAGTAACTTGTAGAAATAAATGAGATCTAGCAAAATAAGTTGAAAACATAGAAGAAGCACAGAAAGATGTCGTAGACCAGGGTAATCAGAAAACCCAGAAGCCGAATAAGTAAGTTTTTTTGTGGAAAGAGAAACTTACGGGAGTTAGTCATCGTAAATTATTGACACCACACTTGGGAACATTATCAAGTGATACTCAAGACACACAAGGTGAGTAAATTGTACTCCTCTTAAGGCGAAACAGAGAAAGGGATAGTGCGTTTGAACACTTTAGATCATTTGGCCAGTTGAATTAATGTGTGCAGACCAATCAAGTGAAGAACAAATCGTGACGCCCAAATCTTCAACATTTTCAAGATGTTCAATATTGTGGCCATTTAAAGCAATAGCAAATGTGTAGATGTCATTGCGAAAATTTATCAGTTTGGTTTTTTGATGCATGGAAAATCATTTTGTTTTGTTGGTACCCCAAGTAAAAGCTGTCATTAGCTTGCTGCAGGCTGTAATTGCAATTACCACTGAGTTTGGCATCATCAGCAAAGAGCAAACCCAAAGAACTAACAGCTTCATCAGTTAATTCGTTCATGTAAAGTAAAAACAGAAGAGGCGCTAAAACACTGCCTTGAGGCACTCCACTTCGAATTGGCAGAGAGGGTGAAATAACGCTGCGAATACGCACACATTGAATCTTTCCAGAATTAAGATGGCACAAGTTGAAAAAACTCGTCGTTAAATGAAAAAGATTCAAGTTTTTGTTGTAAAATAGCGTTCAACGCAGTCGAAAGTTTTCTGAAAATCAAAATAAATACCAGCAGAAGGAGTATTTGAATCTCGATACATGTATAACTGGTCAACAGAGGCAAGAAGTTGAGTTACAGTGGATCGGGTCGTCATGAAGCCGTGCTGCTGGATTGTAAGTTGATTATGGACTTCCGAGTAAATGAAGCTGAAAATTATCCGCTCCGAAACTAAAGAATTTTTCGGAAGAATATTTATAGGGCGATGATTCTAAGGAACATAGGTATAGGAGTGATATAGGAACATTTTCACTCAACGGGCCAAACGCGAGTTGAGAGTACAAAAGTTGTAGATAATCAGCGATGATGTATGGCAGCAAGAAAAATGAAAGAGGGAATATCGGCAAATTATGTATTAGCGGAATCATCGAGCTTTGAAAGAAGACAGTCAGTCATAGAAGTTGCAATAGGAACATCAGAAAGTTTTATTAGCTTTTTTGTTGTAGTATTAGTAATCCGAATTTGGGATGATGGTGGATATGCTGAATATACTGAACACGAATGGGCTCGGACTGAAGTCGTTAATCTTGGGTCTCTAAGGTGCTGAAAACTCTTATTTTTGGGAATTTTGACTCAAAATTAACATGGATTCGCGAGAAGCAAAAGAACTATTACACAAATTTTTGAATATCTTTGTTACATTTTTAAGCCTTTTCAGAATATGGAATTAACAAATTGTTTAAGAAAATCCGTTGCAGGTATGTTCTGATGGAATGCCAGGTAACAGATATCTTTTGAGCATACGTGCATTTTAAATGGCCGTTCCATTTGAATTTGAAACCAAATTGTTCTTCTTTTTTTTTGCTGTGTCGCAACTGGTGCGAAGCTCCGTTTCGCCTCTGTGTCGATAACTATGGATCACTTGTGTTCTTAATTTTATCTCGACAAAGTATGTCACGAGAAATTGGTCGATACAATGGCCGCAAAATGCATACTTAACGACTTTTGCAGCTTCTCATAAGCTACCTTGTAAACAGGAAGTACGAAGGTGATTTGTTTTCTAATGAGCTATCTATTTATAGTAGATTTGCCCTGTAGAATCAAGTCACACAGTTTTGTTCAGACAGATTACTTTAAATTTATTAAAAGTAGTCCCGTAAAGCTGCTTATTGATGCGAACAGGATCACAAGTTGGTGGAAATCGAACTTGATAAAAGTCAATCTGAATGTAAAATGATCAATTCTAATGTAATCAAATTCAAAGGAGAGTGCCCGGTTACAATGTGTAACAGTAAAATAGACAATTGTGTTGTACAAAAAGATTAAGCAGTCATGGTTGCATAAAATCACACCTGGAGTGAGCAAGCTCCAATAAAAGTGAAGAAAGCTTCTAAGCCTTCTACAGTATCAAACGCAATATTACCAATTTCACAACATGGCAATTACAGAAGTTATATTGTTTCTATCAAATGCTTTTATAGCGCATAAGTAGTCTATAAAAGTGTTGTCTGTTGAGTTACCACTTGGTGAAGGTTCTTTTTCAATACTAATTCAACTTCGAAATTGTGTTTCTTAGTTTTTTCAAGTTGAACCGCCTTGGAGACACATGTAAAAAAAAATCGATATCTTTTCAGTTTTTTGCGAATCAGTGGCTTTGGTCTTTTTTTTTAGCTAGCTGCCGTTTTTTTGTTGCACCCCAAATAGTGTGTCGATAACCATCTGTGTCGATAACCATGATTCACTTGTGTGCAAAGGCAAAGTATGTCTCGAGAAGTTAGTTGATAATTTGCCCGCAAAATGCATCAATCGTTGACTTCTGCAGCTTCTCATATGCTACCTTGAAAGCAGTCAACAGGAAAAATCAAGTTGGTTTGTTATCTACTGAACTATGTTAAAAGCGGGACGCCGAAGGTTAATTGTTAGGATCTTTACTCTGCATCATTTTTTTGTCGATTTACACGGTAGAACCATATCACACAGTTATGCTCATGCAGATGCTATAAAATTGTTGCAAATAATCCCGTAAAGCTGCATATTTATGTGAACAAGATTACAAGTTGGTGGAAATCGAATTTGATAAAAAATCAATCTGAATAATCAAATTCAAAGGAGAGTGCCCGGTCACAATGAGTAACAGTAAAATAGACAATTGTGATGTCGAAAAAGGTTAAGGAGCAATGGTTGCTGAAAATCTCACTTGAAGTGAGCAAGCTCAAAAAAGAGTGAAGAAAGCTTTGATGGCCTTTTACAGGATAAATCGCAATATTGACACTTGGACAACTTAGCAATCACAGAAGGTATATTGTTCCTATCATTTTGTACGCCTCGATCTTATGGAAAAGCACCCAAAATGATCTTAGGGTTATCGAGAGTCTTCAACGGAATTCCAACGTATAGATCTCGAATACAAGCACAATTGAACACAAAGAACGACTCCGGGTCTTTAAGTTTGATCATAGTACCACAAACTACATTTGCTACTTACTTCAATATACTTAGCTGCAAATCGGTATGCATTCCTTTGGCAGAAATATGAAACGTTAACAAACAATGAAAACATCAAAAAGATGCGGTAGACTACGATGTTTGAAAGAAGAAATAGCTTCCGACTGAAGAAACAGGAAACTGTTCCTGGTCACGAGCAACATTCCTCAACACAAGTGACGCCGAAGATTTTTCAGTAGTTTCCAGTAGATATTCCCCGACCCCTAAAAGTGCTTTTCTTATGAAATTTCCACTTTGATTTAACGCCCTCCAAACATTACTTGAATTGAAAGAAGATAATTGTTAAACTTCAAATTCAAAGTACTTTTTTGTTAAGCGCAGAATCGTTTTGATAGTTTTTCGAGATAACGAAAGAAAACTCTAAAAAAGGTATCAGTATCAATTGTTGACCTTTTTATGCCAGCGAGCAGCTAGTGTTTTAGTACGAACCTTCTTTTTTTGAACGTAACTCGCAAATAAAGGTGTTCATTAAAAGTGTTCACTTCTGTGTGCCTTTTTGCCATAATCACGATCTGTAGCATTGGAAATTTCATTGCATCTGTTCTCGGCTTTACTTCTGGCTTGTGTTTGTGATGGACTAAGTGTCCGTGGCTGAGTGATTAGTGCGCGAGACTCATAATTTGTAGGTCGCATTTGGTCGTAGCTTCGCCTCTGTGTTAATGATATAGAATTAAAGTTGGATAGACAAGAATTGGCTCTCCAATAGTTGCTCTCCAAGATGCTATCAAGGTATGCTCATTTTTTAAAAGTCATCAACGTGGTGAATCCTCTATAGGTCTTGGTGATTTTTTTTGTTTTTTTTTTAGGATAGTCTCAAAATTTGTTTAAAATTTGATTTTTGCGGTTTGACTTTTGATTTCGTTTAAAGTTCACTTCATTTCTTTTGTCAAAAGCAAGGCAAACTCCACCATCGAATCGCAAAATTGAAAAGACCGCCAAACGTGATCGACGCCTAGTTTCGAAAGTGGACTTTTCTAATCAGATTTCACTGCGGAATAAAAAGTTTACCTGTTGATCCACTTTTTGTCAATTGCTTTAATTTCATCAAAAAAGTGACAATATAAGTTTTTCTTGAAACTCAAACAGCTTTAAGGCCATATAGGTATTCTTTTAAGTCCTAAAATTGAAGTTTCAAAAAAACAAGTCAATTTTTTATCTGTTTCCTTGCGTTCATGATTTTTTTACAACTTTATGGCAATGTTTTTCTTCGTATCATTACGAGGTTTTTTTGCTTGTGATATATGTGGCTGAAATGTCTTAATGTGACTGACAGCATGTCTCAATGATTGATTAAAGTTTTTAAATCTTTACCTTCTTTTCAAGTTTTTGGCCAGATTTTGATCTTAGTTCGTTTGGAAAAAGTTTTGTATAGACGGGACTGCAAGCTATGTAAGAATATGACACATGACACCTCGAATTAACTTTTTCAAATAATCAAACTGATCTTGTTTCAGAGGAGAGAGCTAACCGGCCCAGATTGAACTTGTTGCCCCGTTCTGTTGGTGCTACTAGTGAATCGGGGGGAGCTGCCGCCGGAAATGAGTTCGTTTTGACAGAGCGCAATGTCTCGATTTTCGGCAAGTCAATAACCCGAAGTGCCAATACATCGCTGGACAACTCACCAGCTACAACAATGGCCGACCCAGCAAGTAAGCAATTAGAAGCGCTCAAACATGTCCTTGATATTTTTTGTCCAAATAGAAGCAAAATATAATTAAGAGTCGATGATTGTAGTGAAGTCTTTTATATAGGTCGTGATGATTTTTTTCAAGAATTCTTAAAATTTGTTCACGTTCAATTTTGATTTTTTTGCGGTTTGACTTTTGATTTCTTGTCAAGTGCAGTTATTTTCTTCTCTAAAAGGAAGACAAACTCCACTATTGAACAACAAAAGTGAAAATACTACATAAAACTTGATTGTCTTGATTGCGGATCTTGCCTGCAAATATGACTGCTCAATTCTTTGTAGTTTCCGAGATATGACGTTTTTTGGGATTTTTTTTTTCGGGAAACTTAAACTCGGGAGGTTTAAAAAATTCACAAAGTTTTGAATTCCTAACCCTATAGTAGGGTGCTCTGTGACTCTCAGTGGTTGCAAATTTGGCCTCCAAAGTTCTCCAGAGGCCCATTAAGTTTTCGAGTTGACGCTTTTAAAATGGGAATTAAAAAAATCAAAATTATCAACCCTGTAATCTGGTGCAGTCAGAGTACACTAAAAGTTTGTAGATGTTGTTTTCAATATATGCGGTTTTCCATGAGTTGTCGAAAAATTTCGAAGCACCGGAGGTTGGTTAAACGCTAGTCTAGACTAAAAGAGCTTTTAAATGGTATATGACTCGGTTAGTTCTAGAGATAATTAGTGGTACCTAATTTTTTGCGCCAAAAAACAGTAGAAATCGATTTTCAGTCTCAGTGATCGGAACAGGAAAAAATAAAGCACAGCCGAAGTCGAAGCTCTAAGCCACTTTCAGTAATCGGAAACAAATATAGCTAAATATAAAAAATATGTGTTCGCAATGGTTGATTCAATTTCTACCACAGTGACAGATTTTAAAGAGTCGATGAACGCAGTGAAGACTTTTGTATCAGTCGTGATGATTTTAATCAGGAAAAGTTTTGAGATTTCTTACGCTCAAAGTTGATTTTTCGCGGCTTATCTTTTTATTTTTAAGTTCATTTTAATTGTTTACACTAGCGAACTTTACTGAGCTTTAGTGTTATACTACGACTATTCTTTTTTTCCAAACTAAGTGGCAAATTTTGGTGCTACTTTGGGGCACCTTTACAGCTCTTTGATAGCCTGTGCTTTGACATTCGATTAGTAATAAGTTAACTCAGTTGATGGATTTCCCATTGTTCAACTGAACAAAAAAACTATTTGCTTCAAATATCAGTACAATCATAAAAACACTATCTCGCAATTTTTTTGAAATGCCTAATTTATTTACAGTTTGGTTTCATGCTTTTGAATGTATTACAGGAAAAGTTAGTGTGGATGCATTTAGGTTGTTATATTCCAACTTATTACTTGCAAAATTGATATTTGGTGCCACTTTTGGTGCATGGCAGTGGCAATTTGTTAGCATATGTAGCTGCTTTATTTTTGACTAGTGTTTGCCGGTTGTTAAGCGTTCGTGGCCGAGAGGGCAGGGCGTGAGACTCCAATTCTCGAAGTCGCCGGTTCGAAGCCCATACGCAGCAAAGTTTTTTTAAATTCGGGGCTTATGTCTATCTTTTCTTTTTCACTTTATAATGTAGGCTTTTTTCGGGTTAACAACTTGTTTAGCGGAATCACTTGTTATCTTGGTGCATAATTAGTTCAAATTTCTATTAATTCAATTTTCTTAGACCAGGACCTGTTTTTTTTCAAACGGGAAATTATCCGTTTCAAAATATTTTCGGCTTATCATTTGTCTGCCTATGTTTTGTCTGCTTATTTGTCACCTGCAGAATTTTTTGGGGTATGTAGTTTTCATTGTAATCTGCTTATTTGTCACCTGCAGAATTTTTTGGGGTATGTAGTTTTCATTGTAATTGCTTTGAGGTTTTCAATTGCTTCTGCAACTTTTATTTCTTGCCTTGACTTCCTATGGTTTCCTCTTTTTTTGCTGCGAAAATTGTTCGGCCGAGATGATTTCGGCTTACTTTGTATCGGCTTACTTACCTAATTTTGGGTTGTTTGAGTGAACCATAATTTAAATGTTTTAGCTCGAAAATTGTTTTTGAATTTCGATTAAACGCCGTCGAATATGCTTCTGGACGTGTTTTCCGCAATTAGAATATCATTACAGGTAACATTTTTAAGTTGTGGTTTCTTTGAAAGAACTCCGTATTCTTTGGACTTCGAGGCTCTTTTTTTTCTGTCCGCTAGCTTGCAGTGCTGTTTTTATGGTATGGCAAGTGATGCGAAGCTCCGCTTCGCCTCTGTGTCTCCAATTAGGTTAATTTTTATCTGAAAAGTGTCAATTATAACTCGCCTGTTGGCTATGTTTGCTAATACTTTGGTGTTAAGATTAGCAGTGGTTTATACATTGATCGAAGTTATTTAGTTTTGAAGAACAGACAGTACAATAATTATTAAGTGTCAATGAACGTAGTGAAGGCACTGTGATTTTTTAGATGGTATCTTCGTTTTTCGTTTTACGCTCAAATTTGTTATTCAAAATTTTATTATTGGCTTTTTTGAGTTCGAATCATTCCTTTAGCAAACTCCACTATCGAACAGCAAAAGTGAAAAGATAACAAAAAACTTGATCAACTTCTAGTTTCGAAAGAGGATTTTTGTTTACACATTTCTCAACATAGTAAAAAAATTATATATTGATCTAGCTTTCTTAAATAGGGTTAATTTTATCTAAAAAAGTGACAAATCTAATTTGCTCTTGAAATTAGAAGAGCGTTAAATGGTCATTTTTTTTGTTTCTGGCATTCATTGACACTGGACCAACTGTTGGCTATAATTTTGAACTTGAATTTTACTGCATTTTTCAAGCCCTAGTCTTAAGTTGATCAACTTGCAGTTTTGAAAGCACACTGATAATCTTTCTTTTTAAGAGTAATGAACCTAGTGAAGACTCTTATATAGGTCTTGGTGATTTTTTTGTTTTTTTTCCGGAAAATATCTTAAAATCCTCTAATAACTACAGATGTGCATTCATACATATTAATGCATTTATGAAAGCGCTTAGGTATATACATGCACTTTTTGAAGTTGAAATTCATTTGCTGAAAGTTACGTAAATAGCACTCTCCAAATACGAACGTGGAAATGGCGCAAAAAAACGTGAACAATATCTAGTTTCGAAAGTGGAATTTAATTTTTAGATTTCCAGCGGAATAAAAACTTTACTTATTGATCCATTTTTCTCAAGTTGGGTTAATGTTATCAAAAAAGCGTCAATTCTAAATTGTTCTAGAAACTTAAAGAGCTTAAAGGGCATCTATTTTTTTCTGTGCAATTCGAAAGTTGAAATTTTTTCAACAAAGTCAGTGTGTTTTTTTGTCTATTTGCGTTCATTACTCTTTTCCAACGGTCAGTTGGCTATGTTTTTTTTCGGAGCAAGGCAGAATGTTAAAAAAACCTGCGCGAGAGAAGTGAGCGAGCATATACTTTCAGCTTGGCAGACTACAGTAGGCGTATGGATTTCGAGCATATGGAAATATACGGATATAGCTGTTAAGCCCTTGGCTTATTTCAGGAGCTAATAATTGGCCCAGAGAAGCCCATTTAGGACAGTCGAGCTGAGGATAAAAAGGCAGAGTGTTCAACTCAAATGAAAACCAATCCTTTGTTTTTTTTGTTCAAATATGTGCAGTTTATCGTTTTATGAAAAGCGCAAGTTTTTTTTTGTAACTTTGTTTGAGTGTAAATGTTACATGTTTTTAGTCATCTCTGCTTCGCAAATGCAGTCTGCCAATTCGGCCGAAGATGTTGAGCATTCTCCGGTCTCGTCTGGTCACGCTAGTTCCTCCAACAGCCAGAAGTCACCAGCTGGAGTCCAGGGAGACCCCGGGCCACACTCGTTTTCCACGCCGTACGGAGATAAGCCGCCGGATATGAGTGAACACAGTGACTCGGGTTTCAGAAGCGAAGATGGAAACGGGGAAGGACAGAACCGCTTCACTCCCGACATGAAACAAGTTGAAGGCCGAGTGGAATCGCTACAAGTTTGAACGAAGAACACCAGTTTGTTCATCAATGCAGCTTGCCGTGGATTAGAATAAAATTCAATTTCCAATTTAATTCTCATTTATTATTTCGCAAATAAACTTGATTTAATTGGAGGCAGCATCTAAGCTAAGTAGGATTCCAAATACAAAACTGGTATTTAGAATTATCTCTTAATTTTAGTCATTGTCGAGTAAATTTTTGTTAACAAGCTTATCACCAACTGAGCTCACGTCTAACTCGATAGAGCGTGCCGAAATGAACTTGTAATAAATTTCCTTTGCTTGTTGGGCATCTAAATTTATGTCAATGTATATTTTCAGTATAGACAAAATTTTTCAGATTTGTTCAAACTTCACTTTACGAGTGAAAAACTAGAGGCAGTATTGCTGGATACATTATTGTGTTTTACTTTCAAAGTATATAGTCCATGCTTTGTTTTCAAAATTTCCTGATTTGGATTTGAAAATGTTGATAAACATTGAGTTGGAAAATGAAAACAAGGTGTCTGATCGTCGATTTACAAAAATATCTCTTTAAATAATTACATTCTTTTTCATCGTTCAATCCTAGAGAAAAATGCTTTGAGATTAAATCTTGTAGACCAGAGTTTGTGGTTGAACGAGCAATTTCATATATAAACTTATATTTTCTCAAAATTCCATAAATATGACGATAAAAATTAATCTCTTACTTCGTTTGCTTTTGAAGTGCAAGGAATGAAGATATTTACCAGTTATTATTGGGTCTCTTAATCAGCATTTCGATTTTCAGATTGAAATGGGAAATATTGATGAAAGCGATAATAGTAGTTTTGGGTTCTTGAGAGCCCATGACGATCTATTCCAGAAGCAGATTATAACATCTGGCTCTAAAGATTATTTGACTCCTGTTGAAGGCTCAACATGCGAATTTACTCTTGAAAACCTAATAGATGAGAACAACTGTGCTTTCCCTAGCTCCCCTCTGCAAGTTGGCTTTCACAACTCTTTTCCTTCTTACTTGTTGAGTAGAGCACTTCAAACAATGACTCTGAATGAAAAGTCACGCTTTTCAGCACAATATGGCAGAGAATGGATTTCATTTGAAGTTTGGTTGCTGAGTTTTGAAGAGAAACCGGAGGTGTACACTTGGACAAAAGAACATAAACTAGATATGTGCCATTCGCTGAAGAAGCTCGGTGGCGATTTGTTCAAGAAAAATGATTACCTGTGGTCGTTTCACAACTATCAGAGATCTTTGGTGTTTCTCAGTTTCACCAAAGACAGTGACGATGAGATGATGGACTTAAAAGCCCAGCTTATTTCCAATATTGCTTTATGTCAGAGTAACTTGAAGCCATCGTGCTCCGAAAAACCCATTGCGAATCTCACTTTGGTGCTTCAAATGGGTAAGTTAGACGAATATTAACATTCAAACATGTTTTGGCCTTTTTGATGGCTAGAAGATTTGACACATTTGAACCAACAATTTCAACTGTTGTTTTCAGAACCTAACAACGTCAAAGCACTTTTCAGACGTGCCAAACATTTCCTGTCCTTGAATGATTTTGAAAGAGCCGAAGAAGATATTGAGAAGGCGTATGCCCTGGACCCGGCCAATGCTAAAATTCTGGAGCAGAAGCAACTTCTGAAGAAGAAAATGCAGGAACATGATGGGTTCACAGCATCTGCCATGGCCAAGTTCTTCGGATCCAAATGAGGGCAATTCTCGCATCTTCTCAGCAAAGAATGCTATGGTCCAAATTTACACCGCTGAGTTGGAGGTAGACATGTCATCGATGATTGAAAAAGAATGTGTGACCACTCCAAGATTTGCTTCAAGGCAAATCGACAACATTGCTTAATGCGACACTATATTTCCCGGTACATATCAATTTTGTGTGAATATTTGAGGATTAAACCTGCCTGATATTTGTTTTATTCAGAATGATGTTGTAGATACGTTTGGTCTAAAAATTGCAAAGGTAAGTTATTACTGACATACGATAAATTTATATGCGCTTTTGTTGTGATGGGAACGACTAATAATGTTGGTCTTAACGAGATATACTTATGACTGCTGTATTAGTGTATGCGTTCTTAGCATTTGTTCTTGTGCTTTTGTGTTTCAGTCGGCATGGGTCGTACAACTTATAAATTTTATAGCTCAAATTTTTTCGATGACAGCGGTTTTTTTTTGGCTGAACGGTAGTCGACCAAATTCTGAAGCCTTAGTTGCATCTCGTAAATTTCCCAATGCTTTGTTGACGCTTTTTATCAACCTCATCTGATAGGAATATATGAATTTTTTGTAGGTGTAGTTGTATCGACTTTTTTGAGTAAATTTTTTTGCATCATTTAAGAAACAACTGAAAATTCACGTATCATTACGCTTGCGATAACCTGCAGTTTTCCAATCGGGTACGAGACTTTTCCTGAAAATAATTTTATTCCTAGGTTTTATCTCCTGGACTCACTCATCTACTTGATTTTCTGTTGCAGTCGACATTTTTTGAATGTCTTAGCATTTTAAGTATCCGTACTAATCAAATTTTCCTCTTTATGTTGGTGGCTCGATTTATTATTTTTTTTTAAAGATTTCAGATTTCTGCTCAATGGGTTTCGACTTATTTTATATAGACTTTGTGGCTTTATTGAGTTATCTGAGAACCGAAAAAAGTTTTTGTGCGCGTTTCTGTGTTCTGGGGGAAGGGAACCTAGAATTTTTCAATATAAGTTGAGAATTTTATTGAGTTTTTCGGCTTGAAGCGTTTCTGCTCAGGTTTTTTCGGGTTTGCTGACGATTGGTAATTATAACTTCAAATGCAATCAAACGTACTAGAGAATTGGCCTTAAGGTCACAACTGCTTGAGACGGGAAAAGCTTGTGATTTGAATTTGGCCGGGACCCGTTTTTTGCAAACTAGAGTTGTGCTTTTTCCGTTTGTTTATTTTGTCGGCTTAACTCCCCTAGCCGGACTTTTTCTTCAAGGTTCATCTCCCGTAGTCCGACAAAGCTCAATGGTTCATCCAAGTTGCTGTTACACCCATGCTTGAGACAACTAAGTCCAGAAGTTCGATTCCAGTCGAGACTTGTTTTGCGAAATGAAAATTTTCGGGTACGAGACTTTTCCTGTAAATAATTTTATTCCTAGGGCTTATCTCCTGGACTCACTCATCTATTTGATTTTCTGTTGCAGTCGACATTTTTTGAATGGCTTAGCATTTTAAGTATCCGGACTAATCAAATTTTCCTCTTTATGTTGGTGGCTCGATTTATTATTATTTTTTAAAGTTTTTAGATTTCTGCTCAATGGGTTTCGACTATTTTTATAGACTTTGTGGCTTTATTGAATTATCTGAGGACCTAACAAAGTTTTTGTGCGCGTTTCTGTGTTCTGGGGGGAAGGGAACCTAGAATTTTTCAAAATAAGTTGAGAATTTTTTTTAGTTTTTCGGCTTGAAGCGTTTCTGCTCAGGTTTTTTCGGGTTTGCTGCCGATTGGTAATTATAACTTCAAATGCAATCAAACGTACTAGAGAATTGGCCTTAAGGTCACAACTGCTTGAGACGGGAAAAGCTTGTGATTTGAATTTGGCCGGGACCCGTTTTTTTTGCAAACTAGAGTTCTGCTTTTTCCGTTTGTTTATTTTTGTCGGCTTAACTCCCCTAGCCGGACTTTTTCTTCAAGGTTCATCTCCCGTAGTCCGACAAAGCTCAGCGTTCATCCAAGTTGCTGTTACACCCATGCTTGAGACAACTAAGTCCAGAAGTTCGATTCCAGTCGAGACTTGTTTTGCGAAATGAAAATTTTCAGATAATTTAGATTGTCTGTCTGCCTAATTTTTGTCGGCTTGTTTTTGTGTAAGTTAATGCGTTACAGGTTTCAATGTGAAATGGCTGCCAGTGTTATTTACTTGGTTGTTTCGTTTTAAGAGTAATGAGTACTGGGAGTACTCTTTAAGGTGAGTACTCTTCTATAGGTCTTGGTGATATTTTTTCATGAAAAAGTCTTAAAAATGTTCACGCTCAGATTTGATGTTTCGCTGTTTAACTTTGATTTCTTTTTAAGTTCACTTTTTTTCTTTTGTTATAAGGAAGGCAAACTCCACTATCGAACAAAAAAATTGTCAAGGTCACGAAAACCTGATCGACTTCAAATTTTGAATGTTGCAATTTTCTCGTCGATTTTTCGAAGTCGTTCAAATTCATTCTGAAACTGGATTCTTTTTTTTACGCTTGCGATAAGCAAGCGTTATCAAATCGGAATGCAACACTTTTTTCGGGTTAACAGTTAGTAGTTGACAAAATCTGTTGAATCACTTGCCGTTGATATGCCGCTGAATCACTTGACAGCAGTTAATATGCTGTTGACATGCTAAATTTCATGAAAATTCAAAATTAATTTCAGGGTAGCTTCAGTTTTTTACATAATCAGTTTTTTTAGGCTCAACTTGTGTGTGCTCACAAATTGTCGGCTTTGTTTCCGCTTCGTACGTTTTGTTCAGTTGCCAATTTGAATTTCAAATGTCTTGATTGGCATGTTTGCGTAGAATTTCAGTTTGAAAGAAGCGTATGGGTTTTTTGATTTTCTTTTTTTTGAGACGCTTGGAAAATTTAACTACTTAGCAAAAATTTAGTTTTTTTTTCTGAAAAACCCTTCTACCGATTTTCAAAAAAAACAAAGGTTTTGGGCAAAGTCCAATTTTTTGAAATTACTCATTTCGTCCCGCATCTGTAAAGCAAATTCAAAAAAATATCAGATACGTACCTCCAGTTTTAGCTGAGCCCTAGAAGTCCTCCATCGAGACATGGGAAAATTGTGGTTCACGTAGTTTTTTTCAACATATTTCATGATTTTTTCTAAGATTGTATAGTATTGCAAATATTGCGAATTTCCGCGTCGCCTCTGTGTGTTCATAGGCTGATGTCCATCAGTTTGGAACGTGATGTTCTGCGACCTGCTTTATTTTTTGTATGTTCCTTATGTACTTGCTTTGAGAGGCAACATTTATTTGTCAACAACAATCTAGAATATGGTAAGCTAATTCTATAATCTAACAGAGCTAGATTGGAAGAATTTTGTAGCTTCAATTCGGGCTAGCTGAAAAATTTTTTGTTCTAAATCATGTTTTAATAGACCGTTAACTTTTTTTCGAGCGAAAAAGATGTTTGACTCTCGATGAAAAATGGTTGAACTACTGCAGGTTACTGGAAATAGATGATTAATTTTTGGGATCCAATTTCCCGCAAAGGGCTTATCATAGGAATGCTACTGGTACTCTTATACCACAAAGCACAAAACAGTTTAGCGAGAAAACAATGAAAGAAATCGAAATTGAAAGCGTTAATAATTCAGTTACTGTTTTGCGCGGCCGATTGCATGATACACTCATGGCAAACAATTCACTGTGATTTAAATTATCCGGATAAAAGAATAAAACTTGGAAATTTAAAACGAGTTTTTCTCAAATTGGGTTGACTTTAGACAAAAAATTATGAAGACAAAACTTGCTTAGAATATCAGCTGAAGTTCATGTCGCAAATATGGGTCCTAAATTTAGCCCCAAAGCTACCCATTTTCGGCTCTTTTTAGTCAATCAAAACTTACGCCAAAGTCTTGGTTCAATTGCTGAGAAAAATATATCTAAGTTAGCCTCTTGTATAGGCCAACAAAAATTCACAAGGATATAATCTGCAAAGTTGCCGCAAAACGTCCAAAGTTTGATTTTAAATAAAAAGTTGTTACTTAATATAGTAAAAATGACATTTTTGGCTTACAAATGAAAATGAATTTAATTATACAAAACACGATTATACCCTTTTGTTGGGCTATATAAAAGGACCACTAGTGATTTTTGGGGTTAAATTTTGGACCGGAATTTCGCAAAATAAATTGCACCATGTTATTTCTGCTGAAACTGAGCAAGTTTTGTCTTCCTGTTTTGTCTAAAGTCAACCCAATTTGAGAAACTTGTTTTAGATTTCAAGTGTTATTCGGTTTGTCCGGATAATACAGCACTGTATTAAAATACTTTCAAGCTAGAGATTTTTTAACTGGTGATGTTCGAATCCTCGATGAGAGATGTGCCAGTATTACTAAAATATTGATTTTTCTAGGTGTTTGTGTAAGGTAGTTCAAATTGAGGGCAGTTTTGATGATCAGCTGTAATCTACTCATCATGATATCATTGATTGCTATAGCTTGGACCAGTTGTAAATCCCGGCTCATACTGAATGACGGGATTTGATGTGATGTATTCTTTGATGTATTGTTTGACATGCAACTTTGATGTATTCTAGATATTGAAATGAAGCTAAGCTGCTCATTGTTCGTCCTCATATTTGCGAGTGCCCTGTGTGGCTTAACGTTCTCCCAAACCGGCGAAGACGCACATTCTCAGCCAGACGCAGAATCCAACAGCGGGATTATTGTGCCGGAAGTATTGGGTGACTCACACCAAAGGACTGTCAATGAGTCAGTGACGAGTGGGAGCCATAACTCGTCGGGAAGTGTTCTCCACGCAACTCCCCATGACAGCGAAGAGAACAAAAAGCCGAACTATCGAAATCCCTTCAGCTACGAGCCGAAGACTTTTGTCTTTGTGGTGATTTTTGTGGGGGCATTGCTGATGATGGTATTTGTTGGTAAGTGATAGTTCCTAAGCTGACTCTTAAAAAAACTCATCAAAAACTGACTTGATTCTGAGCAGGGACGGATTTAGGGGGGAACGGACGCCCCCCCCCCCCCCCCCCCCCCCCTCCCCCAAGGGATTCAACCCCCTGCCGACCCAAAGGGTCCCCCCCTTTGATATTTTTTCAGAAATCCATTTTTGGCCGACCGATCCTAAAATTTTTCTAAAGGCGCCTTGGGCGCCAATATATACTAACTTTGAGGGGGAGCGCGCGCGAAAAAAAACGCGCAAAAGTGCCCTGATTCTGAGAATTCGTTTTCGATGACATAAAGGTGCGTTATTGAACATGCGCCTGGATTTACCGCACTTGAAACTCAAGAATTTAGCTTTGATATCAGTAATTTTAGCGTAGAAATCGTTGAAAAAAGGAGAACGAATTTTTGGAGTCCATTTTTCCATGGAGAAGTTGTAGTCACTCAGAAGGAACAGTTATATCAATTTAACTTGTCAGCAAATATAATTGTTTTCTTTAGTGGGGAGTGTGGTGTTCACAAGAACATGGCTATGTCCCCGTTACGCCCAGTGGTACGAGTCCCACCCCCAATGCAGGAGATATCTGCCCAAGATGCGTGTGGGCAGGAGGAAGGGGGAGTCGGGCAGGGGGAGGAGACGCCGACAGCCGAGTGCAACCGAGAGCCATCTGGAACTGCCCAAAGTGAGTAGTGAACAATATTGATCAACTATGTATTCGGGCCCAGCATTGTGTTGTGTTTTCAATGAGTTTTTTCGTATACTAGCTAAAATGAGTCGGCTCTTTAAATTGAGGCATGTTAGTTGGTGAATTTCTTTTTTTTTCAGATTGACTGCGTCATAATTGGCGTGCGTCACTTAGCAATTATGTAGACTGAAAGTTTTTTTCATTCAGCTTTTCCTAGTAGCCTTATCGGTAATATTTTTGCTTGTGTATGCGAAGTGCAACTTTGCCTCTGTGTTAATAATTACATTCGCAAAAATTTTGCACCCTATTTAAAAATTGCATATTCCTATAAATGAAGAAGTGATTTTTTCAATGTTTTTTTAAGGAAAAATCTTAAAATGGTCTAATAACAAAAGCGCATATACTTAATTTGTGCTCTAATAACAAATACATAAATGCTTTTATCACTAAACTTAGGTATATATGGACTTTTTTAGAATCGCTGAACCTAGTTGAGACGCTTATATAGATACTGATGATTTTTTTCCATAAAAATTTATTTTATTTTTGTTTTGTTGAAAGGAAAGCAAACTCCACTATCGAACAGTAAAATGTAAAGGTTGCGAAAAATTGAATTACTATTTTCGAAAATGGAATTTAATTATCAGATTTCTTGGCAATTTAAAAATTTTGCTTATTGATCCAGTTTTCTCAAATTTGCTTAATTTTACCAAGTAATCACCAAAAATAAATTCTTCGCGAAATTCAAAGAGCTTTAAAGGCGTGTATTTTTTCTTTAAAATTCAAAAGTTGAAGTTTTTATGAAGTCAGTTTTTTTCTGTTTCCTTGCGATCATTACTCTTTTCCAATGTCAGTTGGCTATGTTCATTTATTTAAGTCGTGTGGTTTCTGTTCCGACCTCTGAAAGTGGGAAAGAACTTAGTATTTGATATGTCTCATTTTTTCCCACGCAAAATCAGGTACGACAAATAATCATCAAGATTAGGTTGAGCGATGCATCATATTAAAGACCTTTACCCTCGAACGACATGAAAAATGCTTTAAAAAATTCTGTGTCGAGCAAGATCGAGTTTTTTTTGCTTTTCATTATAATTTTGATCGACTTGAGTGAGAGAGTAACGCAAAAAATTTTTAGCTGTAAAATACTTAGTTCTTAGATGTTGAAAACTAGTTTTTGAAGCTCAATGTAGTGCTTCACAGCACTAAGAGTTGCAAAAATTTTCTTAAAAATTCTCATACAAATACTGTTTTTGTTTGTCGATATTATGCATCAAAGAAAACGATTTGTCCGCTTGTTTCGAGTTTGTATAATGAGCTTTTATCAATCATAAGTATCTTAGAGAATGGCGCGTTTAGAGAATGACAAGTTTTTACAGACAATCTTTTACACCTGAAGACCGTTATAGTTTTGTATCACAAGTGGTGCGAAGCTCTGCTTAGCCTGTGTTTTTGCAACAATACCTGTAATCAATTAAGTTTCTCAATGCTCAAACTACTTGGAGTTTATCTGCTCAAACTATCCACAAAAAAAAGATTTTTTTTTACGGTGTTCGGAACTTTCTGTGCTTTTTGAACAGCGACCGGTAATCCTTGTCAAGTTTCTTTTTTTTCCGGAAAATGTCTTAACATATATAAACGCTCAACATTTTGTTTTAGCCTTTTAAATTGTCTTCTCACTCGTTGATTGGAAAGCAAATTACAAATGTGCAAATAGCGCTAAAATTAAAATCAGTTTCAAAAGCATTATAGTTTAAGATTTCTCAGCGAAGTAGAAGCTTATCGGGAGTTTCATGAATCTACTGATCAAACTTTTCATGATGAAATGAACGCCATAATATTTTCTCACATTGGCGTTCGTTTCTTAAAAAAAGTGCCAATCATAACAAATTGTCTGAAATTTAAAGTTAAAAAGTCTTGTTTTTTGAACTCATCAGCGTTTTTCACACTGCATGGTGACTTTTTCTGGTAAAAAAGTGGCAAAAGTGAAGAGTACTAACATTTATTTACCGTTGAACTAAAGAAAGCACGCAATGAAGATTTTCAGACCAAACGTTTTCTAGTTTGATCAGATTTCTGATATTATGTAAATTAGGTCTACGAAATATTGAAAAATGAACTTGCCGATCAAGTAAGAGTCATGGATAATTATCTAAGCGCAGTCTCAATCAGCGCTCAAATTTTGCTTCATCTCAAGCTGCACTTTTGTTTTGCTTTGCTTAAGACAGGCGTCGAAATTGTGCAAGTATGTGTTTCTTCAAAAATACAACTGATTAATCATCACCAACTGGAAAATATGTAAAATCTGTACTACTGAATTTATTGAACCAAATTTATTGAATTTTAATGGCCATTCCTTGTAACAAAAAAATCTGCAAATTGAAATAGTAGTTGATTTTGATGTCCTAATGTAAACAGAATCATCGATGAGTGGATGTTCGTAATATACTACAGCTACTTTTGGCAGTGAATTCTATTTCTTTTATCTTCTGTTTTTCGATTAGTAATTAACTGTTGCGACCGGTTTCGTAGTAAACGTTCTATGGTATCATCACTTGGCATTACTGTTATTCGTATTGTTAATTAGCTAGTTTAAATAGATTTTCTTTGTTTGCAGCAAGACTCATTGGACAACATTACGGTGGAGATAGACAACGAGTCCTTCTTGGCTAGTCTCGAGAATGTCAACTTCTCCCTCACGCCTCCCTCGGTCAGACGTAATTTCGGACCCCCTCCGCCCTCTCTTTACTCACACCACCTGAACAAGACGAACAACTCCATGACAGTGGCAGCCCCCCACCAGAGCAAGAACAAACACAGGTACGGGGTGTCAAACCCTTCTACAAGGAACTCTGGTGGGGGTGGTGGAGGAGGTATCGACAGTGACAGGGACAGTCTCTACTTGTAACTCAAAATGCAATGTATGACAGAATTGGAAACGAAATTGACATTGAAGACTAATCCGTTCTGCACCGAGAATTACTCATAATTTGAATGTTTAGATTAGATCCTTATTGTTTGGTGTAATTTCTATCGCGTCGCTTATTGAAATCGATATTTACAACCGGTGATTTGGGAATCAAAACATTTTTGTTTCTTGTTTTCTTGCTCTCAATTCATCGCGGAAAACCTCAGGAGTTCTTTTTCTCTAAATTTGCGCAATAACAGATGTAATATTCATCATCAAGCTAAATGGTGTTTTTTAATTTCAGAGCGAATTTTGTAAAGCTATAAGTTCTCTAAGCAACTCTTTTATGGATTGCCCTTGAATTGATGCAATTTTTTGAAGAATATGTTAGCTTTTGCTTTTTCTGAACCAATACTCTCCCAGTTATTATGATTATCTCAGTAAAGGTGACCATTAAAGCTATAAAACTGGACATCACAGACTGCCTGTAGACAGTCGTGCGCCTCTCGCATCTAAAGTTATTTCAAAACCTAATTTTGAAGGAGTTGAAAAAGATGTTTCAATCTCTCTTGATTTGATATAACTGGGAAATGCTTCTGAAATAAATTAATCTCATTCCAACATTTATTGACATTAACTGTAATTGAAATAGAAAATTACTCAATTTAGTATAGTTTCTTTGAACATAAATAGATATTTTGCGTACTTCGTCATTTTTAGAGGAAATAGATGAGTCATTTATGAAATGAAGCAGCAATTTTTGGTCCAGATGAGATTTCGTAAGTTTTCTAGAGATGCGAATGGATTAAATTGAATTTTTCGTGCGAGGCCAGAAATGTCAGTCCGTATAGAAACTTAAAAATTAATTTGAAAAACGTATGTGGGCCAGCTCAATAAAGGGACCTGAAAAGATTAGAAAAACCGCATTGAAGCAACCGAAAGTTTCGCTATTGGCACAGATCGCGGTTGATATATTTTTTAGAATCACACAGACTCGACTAATGGGCAAAAGAAAGTATGAAGAATGAAAATTCGACGTGAATAATGTTACTGAGGGTTTAAGGTAGTAGGGTAGTAGATTTTGCATCGGTTCAGAACGTGGTTGCATTTTTCTTTCAGATATATTTTGAGTGGTTGCAGTTATGATGATGAACAAGCATGGCTTCGTGGCCCCAGTACGCAAGCCAGTTGAGAGTGTGGATGAGCTGAGGAAGATATGGGAGAGTGAGCGTGAGTGGGTGTCCAGGAGGAAGTTCCTCAACAGACACTGGGGCACCATGCACCCCTTCGAGCTGGACTCCCTCTCGTCTGTCTGGCTCAACCACCTCGTCCTTGGATGCAGGTCAATTACCCTTCCAAACTTCTCCTTAGTATTTGCTAATGCGCATCATTTTGTTGCATCGCCGTTCTAACTGAATTCTCAATATTACTGCTAGGTAAAATTGAAGCGTATCTTGTGCTATTTTTAGGTACCCAAAAGCAACAATTGAACGCGTTAAAGAGCTTGCGGAGGGTCTATCAGTCGATAATTTAGTGCTTCTAAGAGGAGCTCCGAAAACGTTTGTGAAAGGCAGCGACAACAACGAAGAAGCAGAGGATGATGATGACGACATCAGAGAAGTCGCATCGTATCCGAAGCCCCCGGAACCTCCGAAGTCTCTCGTGGGAATGAATCCATTCAAAAAGAGGAAGCTAGAAGCAGCAGGAACAGCCTCCTCGACATCTTCTTTTAGTGCCGATTCCCAGCAGTCGAATCCCTCTCCTCCAGACAATTCAAATCGACCATTTGCCAAAGCCTTCTCAAGTAGCAGATGATTTTAGGATATCGGGTCAATGTAGTAAAGAAACCTGCTGGATCCGTCTGAATTTAGAATCTGAGAGCATGTTCGATTGGTTGTTTAATGAATGTTGGAAATAGAACGAGGGTGCTTTTCAAATTCATGATAAAAAACTATCTGTTAAACTATCATTATTGTGATGTCTTGATGTTTTTTAGTAATTTTTGTTTTTCGATTAAATGCTAATAAATGTCAGTGTTGAGCACGAATTTTTCTTGGGGTATATATCTATTTCATATAACATTAATTATGCAATGTTCAGGGTAACGAATATGTCTTAAAGGTCTAATTTTGATTTCAGACTCGCAAAATGGTCCAGAGATTGTGTTATAGACGTAAGAACCATTACAACACTAAGTCCAACAAACGGCGACTGGTGAAAACTCCGGGAAACAAGTTGGTGTACTTGCACAGAAACAAGCAAGGCCGAGTGCCCAGGTGTCCCGTGACGAAGCAGAAGCTGCACGGCATCAAACCCGCCAGACCTGGAGAAAAGTCGAGAATTGCGAAGAAGAACAGAACCATCACGAGGCCTTACGGTGGTGTGTTGAGCTGCAAGGCTGTGCAGAACAAGATTCTGAGAGCGTATCTGCAAGAGGAGATGAAAAATGTGAAGAAGTACCTGCAGGCAAAGAAGAAGAAGTAAACTCTTTCTCTTCAGTGTTTCGCCACTTGAGTGTTTATTCCACATGAGTTGATTGCCTTGTCTGAATGCTGTTATAGATATTGAGACTGGCAGAAATTGATTTTTGTGACGAAATAAGTTTTTCGATATTTGTGTTAAGAAGGGAAATTTTAAAAGTATACAGAATAAGATTGGAGGAACGATTGGGTGACAAGGAAATGTGGATTCACCAAATGAACATGACATCTTCTGAGATTCCTTAAGCGCGATAAGAAGATTTGAAAGCGCTGAAATCATTGTATATGAGATCTTCACGATAGACAATATTATCGGCCTCTGTGACGATAATTTTTTTGTATTATTTAATGGTTCCTGTATTTCAACATCAAAATCCAAGATGCAAGCTTTCATGAGGCCGTATTATCAATTTCCCAGTTCGTTTTTTTGGGAAACTGACACACCGACAATAAGAAAATTTTTACGGTAAGCAATAATTGGTCGCAGAGAATTTTGCCTGATAATTATATAAATATATATGATAGAACAAAAATTGATTTGAGAATGCTCTGCAACGTGTATTTAGCTAGCAAAGTTAGTTCTTTTAAATGGTTTGTTTTTTACAATAAAAGGTATTTTGGGTTGTTTTGTGCTGTTTGGTTCGTTCAAGGTTGAGTTGAAAAGTACACAAAAAAGCATGAACTTTTTAAAAATATTTTTGCCTATAGTTTTCAATATACTATATCGTGGTGTAGTTTTCAATCACTGATGTTTTCAATCAAGAAATGAAGCTTGCTTTTTATTGAACCTTAACAACTTCCCGGCTCCTTACTAGTTGGTCTAGATGTAATGCGGTTGCCTGGGTACTATTAGATCTGGGCCGAGACCCGGCCAGACCTTTTTTTCAGTGAAGTTGAAGTGCAAGTTTTTCCGGGAGAGTAAATTGTCGGTTTTTCTTTAGTCAACGTATGTTTTTTCCGCTTAGTTGCCAAATCACGGATTTTTCTTGAGCTGTCAGCTATTTTCACTGTAGTTGCAACTTTTGTTGCTTAATGCTTGTAATTTGTTTAATGCTTAACTTACTAGCCCTGACTAAGTACATTTCTGTTTGTATTTTTCGCGTAAAACTTATTTCAGCCTAAATATTTTCGACGTATGTTTATTTGGATTAGTCTTTTGAAAGGAAAACTATTTTATAACCATTTTTAAGGTTTTTTGTTTTCGGCTCTATGGGCATTTACCTACATAATGTCAAATTAGTGGCGGCTCGTTCAATCCTTAAACCTTTTTAGAGCTTGTAGTTGTGTCTCGACTGTTTTTCTGATACTCAGAATTTTTGATTTCATTTTTTTTTCAATTTAGTTAATTTCTTGTCATTCTCTATTCGGCAGCCTGGTTTATATCGCAAGTAACACAGCACTGCTTTTTCTTTGTGCTTCAGACGACATTCACAATGGATCAAAAATCAGTATTCAGATTTTTCTGTTCCTATTCTCTTTTTACCGTTGTCTGTTCGGTTACCTCATTCGGTTTATACACAAATGCCGCGTAGTGTCCTATTACGGAGGTAATTTTTTCTAACCCGAGTCGCAAATAAATGCGAATATAAAAACAAAATTTCTTTGCTTTAGCTGCTTTGCATTATATCCTTTTATCTCGTTTGTTGGTGGCTTACCTTTGAATATTGTGAGGCGGCCATGGCGTAAATGCTTGGACTTGTGGCTATTAATTTCCGGATGGGCAGTTTTTTTGTTTTTTCTTTTTTCTATTCACTTTTTGACCGTTTTAGAGCTACTTTTTGCCGTTTTTCGCTGTTGTTTGCGAGTTGCACCTTCGCCTCTACTTAAGATTTTTACAAATGATATGAGAAATAATAAAAAAAAAGATACGACTTTTTTAAAGATGTATTTGAAAACAGAATTAAGATGAAACAAGAGTAGCCTGCTGCTGTGCAATTAACACAGTGTTCCGACCACTTTTTAAAACTATATTTTGTTTTTAAAAAAATCTATCATTTTTTGGGCGGTGTGTGATAAAAGGATCTGAACAGAAGCCTGAAGTTTAGGTATATTTGACAGTCATAAATTAATATGACTAAGAAAACAAAAGAAAACGTCAAATTTAAATTCCTTGAAGTAAAAAAACGCTGAGTTTTTTTATCATCAAGAATTACTCGGTATCTTGGTTCATATTGAATTAAAAAATTTCTTAGCGTCTCCTGCTCACTTAGCCTGGTGGTATCGAATAGGACTGGGACAGCAAAGGTTCTGGTTTGAATCTGTCTAGGATTACGTCTCGAAAAAAAATTGTCGGCTTAAAATTTTTCTGCTTATTTTATGCTTTTTTAGTGGCTACAGTGCAGCTTTCATTGTAATTGCTTTCTAAGTTTTCATTGGCTCCTGCATGTTATAATTCTACTAGCCTTGACTTCGTATACGTTTCTTTTGTTTTTTTTGCTCAAAAAATTTTCGGCCGAAATGATTTCGTCTTATACTTTATCGGCTTACTAGTCTAATTATGGGTCGTTCGAGGGGACCATAATTTGTATGCTTTCCTCCGGACCGCACAAGACGTTCAAAATCTCGAATAAAAATTATAGTTCAAAGTTTTTCATGACAAAGTTTTATTTTCGCTCGATAATTGCTTTCGAATTTTTATAAAACACCGTCGAATGTGTTTCTGGGCGTGTTTTTCGCAAATAAAACTTCATTCCAGACAACATTTTGAAATTTTTAGTTTGGTTTTTTCAAATTTTTTTTCCATTTTTTTGGACTTAGGGGCTCTTTTTTCCTGTTTGCTAGCTTGCAGTATTATTTTTGGTATCGCAAGTGATGCCATCTGTGTAAAAAAATGTAAAAGATATCACACTCTCTATGTGCAAGTTCTGTCGTAAATGAGATAAGAAGTGAGCAACGAGTAATGAAGAGAAAAATCTAATTTTTTATTGATGCTTAACTCACAACAGTAAGAGTTTCATTATTGTGTATGAGCAGTCAATCTGGTACGATGTTTTTGAGTTACCTGTTTTTTCGAAGTGAACCCGAAGTTGCTTCTCACTTTTCGAAGCTGTTAAATGCATTTTATTACTCAAGCAAACGTTTGTGTTAAATTTTTTGTTTTTTCCAGCCTAGCTGGCAAAAAGTGTAATCTACTTTTTATTGAATTTCAATATATATGTGTGCTGATTTAGTGGTATTTCAAGATTGAGTTGAATGTGTTTTAATTTTGTTGTTGTTGTTGGGGATTCACAGCACTGCTGTTGGGATTCTTGGTCCCGGCGTCTTCTCTAAAACAATGTCCACTTGTTTCTGCACGTGATACAATCACAGAATAATTGCCACGTGCACGTTGTCATTTCTGAAAATCTCTCGTTTACAAATTTCCACATCGTGTTTAAAATTCTCGTCTTGAGGCCGATTCGTTTATCAAAATTAATATATGGTTCTAATCGATTTACAATCCTACTGGTTCTGAAAACAAATTCGTTTCTCGCTTTTTCCGTTCTCACTTTTCGCATCTCAAAAATTTCTGTATTTCTAGCCCGTGTGGTTCGCCTGTTTAACACTATTTCATTTCGTTCATTAGAATCAAGACTGGCAAGAAGTAAGATGTTATTTAGCTGGATGAACATGGGCAGGGGTAAAATGTTTAGCAAGCGTAGTTCGTTGATGTACACTCCCGTTTTATTTCCAGTGATCCAACGGATTACTTTCTTTTGAAATCGCTCCAACTGCAATTGATCCCCCCTCGATATATGTGTACATGAGAGTCCGTATAATAACACTGGGAGTATTAGTGACTTATACAGGCCTAACTTTACAAACGTATTTATCTTTGCTGATAGGTTTCTTCTCAGGAGGTACAGTACTTGGTTTGCCTTCTTTAATCTTGTTTCAATGTGTACCTTCCAACCTAAATCGCCCGACACAAAAATTCCCAGATCTTTCACAACCATCGATGTTCCAAGCACTACACCAAAAAGCATAGAGTTAGCGTCTCCGCCCCTAAAACTTACTTTTGCACATTTATCTAGTGCTAATTCCATTTTGTTTTCAGTTACCCACTGCTGAATTTTGTCCAGATCTTCTTGAATTTCAATTGATGTTTTTTGATGGAAAGTAGTTTAAGGTCATCCGCAAAAATATATGGTTCAGAGAATTTGAGTACTTCAGGTAGGTCGTTAATAAAAATGCAAAAGAGCAGTGGTCCTACAAGTGATCCTTGGGGAACACCACTAGTGACTTCTAAAACTTTTGAGCTGATATTGTCTACTCGTACAAACTGTTTCCTGTTTTTCAAATAGTCATAGAGTACCTCTAACATGCAGCCTCCTATTCCTATAAGTGCAACTTTCTTAAGTAGATCAAAATGCGGAACTTTATCAAAGGCTTTTGCAAAGTCAGTGTAGAATGCTACAATTTCTGCGTTTGAGTCATTGTCAAGCGCTTCATATATTTCTTTCAGGAAAGAGAGCATGTTTGTCAAAACTGATCTACCTTTAGTAAAACCGTGTTGATGTTTCGTCAAATACCAGGCAAAGTAAGGGTACAGGTCTTTGTATATACATTTTTCAAGGACTTTGCTGTCAATATTTAATAGCGATACTGGTCGATAGTTGTTCACCATTTTTCGGTCACCTTTTTTGTGAACAGGAGTAACTGCAGCTGTTTTCCATGAATCAGGTATTTTTCGTAGGCGTTTTACGTTTCTCAAAAGTTTGTTCATCGGTTTGCATATATTGCGGTTCGTTTTCTGAAAAAAGCTAGGTGGCAACCCATTTGGGCCGCGTGACTTTGTTACGTCCAGAGTTGATAAAATCTCACTTACTGTCTTTTTCGATATATCAAAATTCGTTAACAAGGGATTTTCAAATTGAATATCTCTAATACTAAAACTTTCTTTAGGATTAAAAACTGAATGAAAGAAGTCGTTTAGCATGTTGACTTGTTCGTTTGGATTTGTGCTTTCAACTTCATCTTTTATGAGTAACTTAGGAAGACTTGTATGTTTATTCAAGTTCTTTAGGTGTTTAAAAATTACATTAGTGTTCCCTGTTCTAAACAATTCCTCTTGGTAGTTTTTCCTGTCAAATTCCGATGATTCAGTTACTAAATTTTCAAACAGTTTATTTTGTTGTCTTC